CCTGTCTCACCAAAATGGCCAATAATGTCCGCCTTCTCACCTCATTTGGAGCAGCAGCTTGCTGAGTGTCAAAATGTTTAATACCATTTGGTTTTGTTTGGTGCTTTCAACCAGTCACTTCACTTTCTTTTGTTTCCTTTTTCAATTAATTTCTTCTTTAAGAGATAAAATATGTTTATCTTTCAGTTGGTTTAATGTGAATCGGGGCTTGAAGTGACGGGTTCTTGTCTAGTACGTTCTCCTTTCCCCACCTCGCTCCTCCTCCTCCAACATTTTTCTCCCTGAGCTAATCTGGAAGGGGCTTAAAAAGCGGAACCGCTGGGTTTCCTCAGCGCAAACTGGTTGGTTGGTCCTCAGATTTCTCTCGCTAGCCGCGTCCTGGGAACACATTTTAAGGATGGATTCTGGTGTTGCAAAAGTCAACCCTGGATCTCCCAGTGTCTCCTCCGATCAGGTCTGTAAATCTGTCCCTTTCCAAAGCATCTCTCACCTCGTGGACCCCAGCTCTTTTTTACTGCGTGGTGGTGGTGGGGAACCTTAGCGATGATGATTGGTACCTTCTTGTTGGAAAGAGTAACGCACCGCAAATGCCACTCACAGAACACAAACTGGGTTAACCTCTCTGCGTCCATGAGCAGCAACAAAACCAATTGGCTTTACACGGGTGTGAAAAGTTACGGGTCTGTTCCGTTTCTAACGAAAGTCATGTTAAGCAGAATTTGGGATGCAGATCCGCCTGTGTGAAATACGGATCCAGCAGGCAGTATTGAATGGATTCCTAACTGATGCACTTAAGAAATCTTTCAGTGACTCAGAAATGCTTTCTCTGCACTGAAGTCATTTGACTTGCATCACAGATGTCCAGCTCCAGTTCCAAAATCTGGTTCTGTCAGTAACAAGCTGTATCCTTGTTTGAAAAAAGCTCCGGAGAGTTTTTTGGCCGTTGAAAATGTGTGTTTGTGTGTGCCTGCTTTGTGTGTGTATGTCGGGAGGTGTTGCACATGCACATGGAGCATGCACATATGTATGCATGCAAGGTTGGCTTTGTGAAACGGCTCTGACAAAGCCGTCATGGAAACCAAACCTCCCTGAAACTCAGGGAAGGTGCTTCTGGAAACCAGAAATTGGTAAAAGTGTTAGATAAGTGTTTATAAGGTAGGGACCTGACTGCCCCATCCCAACTTTTCCTTTCCAGGGAGGGCAGTTCTTCATTTCTTTCCCGTACTTTGAATGTCTTGGATAGCAAAATGGAAAGAATCTCTTCACTGCATTTTTTACACGTAAAATTTCACTCTTTCAGCTGCTGTGTGTGAAACCCAGCTGGACCCAGAGCTGAAATTGGTCTTGATTCAATCTCTAGCTGCGCTTCAAGCTTTCCTCCCACCACCGCTCTCCTCCTCCTAGGCCTTGACCTAAAGGCTGACCCAGAGATTCTCAGCTTGACAGACCTCATGTCAACAGCCGAATCAGAGCGGGATGGCAATTAAAACAAACGGCAGCACGATGGTTCTTGGTGTCCAGAGACGAGCCCTATAAGTGTTTCCTGTTACAGTAAACACGGTTGTCACGGCCCTGAGCCATAGCAGGGATGTATCTAGGGACTCGCTGAGGTCTCCAACATTTAATATTGGAATTGTTTTCCCATCCTCGACTGGTGTGTGGTCGTTTGTATATTTGTGCACACACGGGAGCGTGTAGCTTTTTTTAAACCAGGATGCGCAACAGGAACGCTACTGCCTCCTTTATTCTTGCATTAACCTTAATCCAAATTCTCCCTTTTCGCATCCGGATGTGCTGGTTGCTTCCCATTAGTTAAGTGTGAGAAATGCCATTAAAAGGGCCGGGAAGCCGTGCTGCCCTGAGAGCCCCCGAAGCTGACCCAAAGCCCTGGGTGCTGTGAGGAGGGTGGGGAGAGTTGCTTCGCGGTGGTTTGTGAGTGTGCCCTGCACGGCCCCGGCTCCGTGGCCCTGAGCTTGTGTTTTGTGAGTGGATCTCTTCCCTGCCCGAAACCACAGACAGCAGCAGTCTGTTCCCTTCAGACTCCGATTCTCAGCACTCCACCATACATCAAATGATGCTTTTCAGTTACTAAATTCTGGTTTGTTCTTCCTTTTTCTTTTTTTTTTTTACCTTCTCTTTTAGTTCGGTTTTATTTCTTTGTGATTAGCCTCAGTTTGAATTAATTGTCTTGTTTCTGTTTCCATGACAACTCAGTGTTTGCATCCCACCTGCCGTTGTTTGTTGCTGTTGATGCTGTTTGCTGACCGGATCTTGTCCGGCATATGTCTCCCCATTTCTCCTCACCTCTTCCCACCTTGCCTTCCCCCTCCAGAAGGTTACATACCAGCCCCTCCTCAGAAGAGTCATCCCCACCCCAGATCTGTCTGCATGTTGACCCCACTTGTTTCTTTCCAAGTTCTCTCCATCTTGTCTCAGATTGTGACCGGGGTGGTCTTCACATGGCTCCATTTTCTGAAACGCGGGACCTCCTGGAGCAGACAGTGGAAAGAAGGATGGAGTAGGCAACAGGGACGTACGCTCCTGGCTAGGGCTGCAAGTCTTCTGTAGCGGTGTGGCAGGAGGGAGGCAGGAGCATGTCGCCAGCTCTCGAGCCAGTGCTGGTGCCGGCAGTTGGGCTAATGCCCTGGTACTCTCCTCACACCCTTCTCTAAGCAGAAAGTCGTCTTGTAGTGTTAGTGTCCAGGTGAGTTTGCAGCCTTTCCCTCCGCACGCCGGTCCTTTCCCTGCCTACCCTGGAGGTGAGGGCATGCTACCCGCTCTCTTCGCAAATCCCTGCATGCGGGAATTCTCCTTTGACATCTCTGAGCTCCTAATGCCGCAGATGTGGAAGGCTTCTCCTCCTCGCCTTCGGCTCCCGACTAGTGGTACCTGCGCAAAACAGGGTCTGAGAGCACGATGGGAAGGGCACACCTTTCTGCGCTGACATCCCCGTGTCGGCTTGCGGGAGGAGGCAGAGGCTGTACTGGACTTTTGTTTAACGAAGCCCCACTAAATGGAAAACGGCCACCCCCTCTCCTGGCAGCGCCCCTATCATCTGAAAAGATCCGTCATGTTGAGCAGCAGCCAGGGAAGTGGGCTGGAAGATCGGTGCTGGAAAACCCTAAGACACCAGCCCCAGGGGACATCTAAGGCACTAGGATTTGGGAAGGGTGATTGCGTGCTAAGCTCGGATGTCCTTTGCATTGCTTGTGCATGGATGCAGCTGCCACGGATTTTTTTTAGGGAGGTTACCCGGGAATAGGACAGCAGGGACAGGTATTTTTCAGGCCCCCAGAACCCCTAACGCCCCCTCGCTCGCCCTGCCTGCGGGGTTTGCTGCATGGCCGGCTGGAGGAATCCCCTGCTCCTTTTCTCTGCCTGCGGCTCCCCGGGCTCTATCCTTTCGTCTGTGCTTGCGGGATGGGACCTTGCCCTCGGCTCCCTCCCCAGAGCCTCTTTGATCCACTTGGATTTCTCCTTTGTCCGTTCTCCTGCTTTCACCCCTACGGAGGAGCCAGCCAGCCCCGTTAGTTCGGAAAATGGAGCCAAGGAAACCGCACCCTCCCCTTTGCGTCCATGTTCTTCCCGTGTCAGGTCTGGAAGCTGCATCCACCTCTGCTAAGGAGATGCACAGAACATGTCACTGTTTTCTCAACGTTCAAGTTTCATTACCTTGTTTTTCTTATTAATTCTATTCTATTTATTATTCCGCCAGGGCTGAGATGTGACAATGTGAGCCACCACATTGGGTCACATCAGCTAGAAAAAGTATGCAGCATTAAAGTGGGTTTCCCCCTCCCCTCCCTCTCTCTCTCTCTCTCTTCTTTCTCCCTTCCCTTCCTTGTTCTCCTTCTCCTTGTCTTCCTTCCTTTCTCTGTCGCTCTCTTTCTATTCAGTATCCATGTGGGCGTTTGCTAGCCGCCCAGAAATGATATTTCTCTGCATTTTCCTCTCTCTTTCTATCTTTTTCTCTCTCTCTTTTTTACCTATTTTGCATGATGTTTGTGACTCTGAGAGCTGCATCTATCGATGGAACCGTGTCAGATCTTAAAGAGGCTTCGTTAGGGTTTCTATACCCGAAAACCACAAAAATTTCATTAGAGTTTCTCATCTTTTCCACATTCTTTCTCGCTCCAGGGGGACGGCCTCTCCCTGGACGCTTCTCACACACAGACACCGACTAAATTCTGTCCCGCTCCAGGGACTCCCTCTCCTCCCTTTCTCGAACTTTTGCCTCTTTGCTTTTCGAGTGGGGTCTCTGTGGCCTTTGGGGATGAGACACTTCTCTTTCTGTTGGATTCTCTGGGTCCAACAAGGCAAAATCTTGAGAAGTTTCCATCTCCATCCCAGCCTTCTCCTCGCCACCCCCCCACCTCCGGAGCATCCCTCGGGCACGGAGCGGCGGATGGGAGAGGGCCCCTCTCCGGAGACGGGGAGGCACCTGGCCCATTTCAGGCCGTGGTGGTGGAAGGGCTGTTGCGTTTTGCCGTGGGAGAAGGTGATGTGGGAATCGGACTCCACTGGAAAAGGGGAGGAGCAGGATTCCCGGGGTGCGGAGCGGGGAGCTGGGGGCCCCAGCGGCTGTGGAGGAGATTTTTCGACGCTCGCCATGCCAGCTCTTGCCAGTAAAGATGAGAAATTGCTAATAAATTTTTGTGTATTTATCTGTGCTGTGATGGGTCTAATCTTGATCAATGGAACCCTGTTGCTATGAAATATCGCTTTTATGTCTATATTCTATATATTGTTTGTGAAGTAAAAATTTATTTGAAGTTTAATTTTTTTTGTTTTTTTTTTTTTTTTTTAATTTATTTAGTTTTAGTTTTGTTTTTAATGAAGGAAGAAAATAAATGCTGACAAACCCCATCTATATTTAAATTATCTTTTGCTCTTTTTTCTTTTTCTCCCTTTTCTTCTTTTTCTTTTCTTTTTTTCTTTTTTTGTTCTATTTGTTCTGTTTCGTTTTGTTTTTTTGTTACCTCTGTGCGTCTCATCCACAGTTCGCCGTGTGGCCCCTCGCTTCTCCATCTTACCCGTCAGCCATGAAATCATGCCCGGCGGCAACGTCAACATCACGTGCGTGGCCGTGGGTTCGCCCATGCCCTACGTCAAGTGGATGCAGGGAGCAGAGGACCTGACGCCCGAAGATGACATGCCTGTGGGCCGTAATGTCTTGGAGCTCACAGATGTCAAGGACTCAGCCAACTACACGTGTGTGGCCATGTCCAGTCTGGGAGTCATAGAAGCCGTTGCTCAGATCACGGTGAAATGTAAGAGAGTGTGAGCACGCCTGCGTGAGCGAGTGCGTGGGTTCCCCGGCTGTGCATGTTCGTAGGAGCGTGCACGCGCAAGCGTGCGAGCTGTTGCATGGGTGTTTTATGTCCAGGGCTCGTATTGGGTGCACGGTCGTAACAGAGAGTCTGAGCATGCGTGCAAAGCAGATGTGGGCACGCGTCATGTTTGTGCATGTGAGCATTTGTAGATACGTGGTCGTGCCTGCCAGCCTTCACCGGTGCATGAGTGGGAACGTCCCGGTGTGACTCTGTGGGTACCTGTTTCTGCTCGTGTCCTTGTGCGTCTGCATGGGGTGAGCCTGTGACTGATCTGCCATGAGGAGTGCGAGGACGCAACTACGCATGTACAGAGGTGGTCGTGCACGTGTGTGTGTGTGCATGGGAGAAGGAGCAACATGGCTGTATGGGCACGTGGGTGCCCGACTGCATGTTTGTAAGACTGTGTCGTCACAAGCCTGGCTGTATGTGCACAGGTATGTGAGACAGACGTGCGCACCACGAGTGCCGTGTGCTGGGATCTGTGCCTGTGTCGCTGGGGATCCCACACACAGATCCGCAGTGAAGGGCTGGCTGGTGGCTTGAGATCTTTCCTCGCTTTAGGACCACTGAGCTGTTGGTTATGAAGAAAACTGTGATTCAAACCCCTGCATGCTTGGGTCTGTCCTGGGATGTGGGGCTGGCTGGGCTGTTTGCAAGGAGCCTTGGATGGCTTGAAGCCTGCATGCCATCCAGTTGCAAGGTTAGAGATTCAGCCAAAGCCCTGAGGATCTCTGGCATGTGTGCCCTTGCAGTAGAGCCTAGTTCCAGCATCTTAGTGGCCGTTGTTGCCTCAGCAAGAGCGGGAGTAATCCCAGCTTCCAGCTAGCAGTTCCCGCGAGGAGCACGGGTGCAATCTTCAATTCTGTCCTCAGCAGGGGAGTATTAAAACCTGAGCGGGATGCCCCTGAGGTTGGGTGAGTGTAGAGCTGGTGTCTGCTCTGAGTGCTGGCATTGCCCACGAGGGATCTGGGGGGAGTTTTTTTGGGTGGGGGAGAGCAGGAGAAACACGTTGGAGAAGGGGAGGGCTAAAGAAAACAATCCTGTTGTATCAGTGCATCTGACTAGGGACAGTCTGGCACTAGAAGTGGGTAGGGACTAGGGAATCTTGACAGGACGCTCATCCTGAGCTTCTGCACAGGGAGTGAGTGGGCTCACGTGCTGGCAGACAGATGCCTAGGGCTGGACTGAGGGGCTCTTTATTTTCCTCAGTATTTTCTTCCCTCCCTTTTCCCCCTGTCTTACCCTATCAATTTAGAATCTGCTGTGTAAGATACATCGCTTCTGCTTCCGCCTATCCTATCCCCTCAGCTGGGGAATCTTACCCTGCTGGTCCCTCCTGCCTGGGTGGTTTTATGTGTGTCTCTTCCCCCTTGTGCTCCTGCCTGTAAGCATCCGCAGTCTTTCCCGGGCAGAGGATGAAAGGAGAGGTTAGAGCTCTAGAGGTGCTCAAGTCTAGAGGAGGTGAGGTTGGGAAGAGTCCGAAGTGTGTAGTGAGGAAAAAAGGTGTCCGACACTGAGCGTGCAGCCTCCAGCAAGCTCCAGAGGTAGTCTGTTGGAGCAGGGACAGGGGACAGGAGACATCATTTGTGGCCTTGAGAGGAAGCACTCCAGGTATTTACAGATTCTTTGTTCTGGAGAGCGCAGGCCGCGCTGTCCCGTTACCTGAACGCTCAGCGTGGAGGGATTCAGCGGTACCGGAGCCGGGCTGCCAGCGCCGGCTGGGAAGATCTGATTACGTGCTCGGAAGGAGCTGCTGCCAAACTGCTTTTCCGTACTGCCGTGTGAGCCGGCGGATGTGCAGCCGAAGCCTGTGCTAATGATTCCAGATGTTCAGCTGAACACTTTTCCTTTTGATGGAGCAGTTTAAGGAGGATAATAGAGTCTCTAACTAGGTTCATAATATTTCAGCGGCACTTTACCGAGTGCGGCGCTGTGATTGGGGCTGTGCCTCTGGCTCCTACAGCCCTAACTAGCCCAATTAGGCACCATTTCAGCATATGTGGGTTTTTTTAAAATATCTCTTCTTCCTGATTCTCAGCACTCCCCAAGGCTCCTGGGACGCCAGTGGTGACAGAGACGACAGCAACAAGTATCACCATCACCTGGGACTCTGGAAATCCAGACCCTGTGTCCTACTATGTCATTGAATACAAGTCTAAAAGCCAGGATGGACCCTATCAGATCAAAGAGGACATCACCACCACACGCTACAGTATTGGGGGGCTCAGCCCCAACTCTGAGTATGAGATCTGGGTCTCTGCAGTCAACAGCATCGGGCAGGGGCCTCCCAGTGAATCCGTGGTCACTCGCACTGGGGAACAAGCTCCTGCCAGCGCCCCCCGTAACGTGCAGGGCCGAATGCTGAGCAGCACCACCATGATCATCCAGTGGGAGGAACCGGTGGAGCCCAACGGGCAGATCCGTGGCTATCGTGTCTATTATACCATGGAGCCTGATCAACCCGTCAGCAACTGGCAGAAGCACAACGTGGACGACAGCCTCCTGACCACGGTGGGCAGCCTTCTTGAGGACGAAACCTACACAGTGCGGGTCCTGGCCTTCACCTCCGTGGGAGACGGGCCTCTTTCCGACCCCATCCAGGTGAAGACGCAGCAAGGAGGTGAGCACCTCCAGCACTAACCTCGGGTGCGCTGAGCTGCGGGAGGGAGAGGTGTTGGCTTATAGCGCTATCCAGCTGTGGCTGCTGTGTCACCAGAGCTTTTTTTTTTTATTCATTCAATTTGGTTAGAATAGAAGTAACCTGCTAGGAGGAAGCTCGGTCCAGTGGCTGGGGCCGGAGGGCCTGGTGCATGATTTCTCATCTGTTTTTTCTTGGAAAGGTTATTGCTTAAATGGGTGGGGAAAGCAATTATACAAAGAAAATCCATTTCTGCTGTGCCATGTTTCAAAGTGAGGTATCTTCTTGCTTCCAGTTTCTAAATGTCTTTATAATAGACCTAAAAACACTCACTGCCCAGAAACTGCCTTCTCAGAGATGAGCGGGGAATGAGCCTTATTTTGCCTTTTACTAAACGGGGAGCAAAACAAAGCCCTGAGTGTCACAACAGATGTGCTGAGCTGCAAACAAAAGGTGGTTTATCCCAGGCTGTCACCCAGCATGCTTTCGGGTGCTCTGCTTACGGCGTGGGGTGCTGGCGAGGAAACCCTGTGTCCTCAACGGGCTGCTCATGGGCTTCCCACTTCCAGAATCTTTTAATACTGGGGGTTAGTGGGAAAGGCTGTATTCTGCACCGCCAGGAACGAGGCATGTGATCCAGTAGGACTCTTCCATCCCCAGCAGCTCTGGACATGCAGTGGGATTTAACCCTCTGGGCATGTTAGAGTCCTGCAGTGGGATTTAACCCTCCAGAGGGTCTGCCCACTCTGCGGCATAGTGGTTTGCTGCTGACATGCTCTTCACACACAGGGTAGGGGTCTTCTAATTACCCAGGTTAATGTGGTTTCTCCTGTCTCTCATCTTGCCTCCTGCCCTGTTGGCTCCTTCTCCAGCCGATGAACTTCCGAGCAGAAGCCAAGACAGAGACAAGCATTGTATTGTCATGGAGCCCTCCACGCCAGGAGATCATAGTGAAGTATGAGCTCCTCTATAAGGAAGGAGACCACGGCAGGGAGGTGAGTCCAGAGAGGAGCAGCACAACGGGTTGGGTCCGTGAGGAGCATCCCAGCCCTCCGTTCCCTAAGGTGGCCGAGAGGGGAGTAGGGCAGGTGCCTGAGCAGGCCTCGTCTCTGCTCCTTTTTGTTTGTTTTTATGTTTTTCTTCCCCCTCGCCCATCCCAGGTGCCGAAGAACTTCGAGCCAACAACCTCCTTCACTGTGGAAGGCCTGAAGCCCAACACTGAGTATGTCTTCCGGCTGGCCGCCCGCTCGGCTCTGGGCCTGGGGGCCTTCACCCCGGAGGTCCGAGAGCGCACCTTGCAGTCTAGTAGGTGTCTCTCCTTTTCCCACCCTTCTCTGAGGGGAAGACAGTCAGGGAGCCAGAGATGGTGGGCACAGGGGTATGGAGCTGTGGGGCGGACGTTCGTGGTGCTGCGGTGTTTCACCCATCTGGGCTTCTCTGCAGGGGGGTGGGCGATGGCGGGGGGAGGCCTCGGGGACCTGCTGCCTTCTCCCT